AATTATTCTAATGGTAGAATGGTTAATTTTAAGGGCTTTGTTGTAATTTTAAAAATGGTATCGTAGGTTCTCACATGTGTTTTATCAAGCCAGATGTACTGGTCACCTATGAGTTGGATTGATTGCTGGATCCCCAGCAGGAGCGCACCTTTGATTGTGTATGGACAGAGACCGTTCTGTCAATTCAAATCACGGTTTGTATTTATACACTCGAACTCTCGAAGGTGCATTTCTATAGGAAACCAGCAGACACAAAGGCGTCTTTTATATGTTTTTATTTACAATATCTGTATTTATATGTTTTTGTGTTCATTGGGAGATATTTTCAATATATAACTACAGCATTGCGAGAATGGTTTAAAAACCAATTTTGTGAAAACAACATCTGGATTCATATTTCCTAATCCCCCCAACCTTATCTCAACTAAAACTAGTTGGATTTAGATCAACATACCGATTCAAATCAATATCAGAGTTTGCATGAAGCTACCCATAAAGTTGACAATTGGATTGAATTCGGACTTGAGTTGATGTAACCACTCTTTTCTTCTGCGGCCTCTTTTTGAGGCAAGATTTTCGGATCCCATTCATAGACCCAAGACCCAAGTAAAAAAAAAAAAAAAAAAAAATTGAGCCTAATTTGGTTTCAACTGAAATCTAATGTGGCTGCTTATTAAAAAAGGGGAAGAATTCTAATACAGTCAACACAAATTTCTGACCTTGATTTTTTTAATTCTAAGTTTCTAACTCCTTTTATAATCAAATCATTTTAAAAAATACAACGAATGATTGGATCTTATGTCATAGTTGATCCATTTCATGACCAGATGGTCTCTCCTACTTCAGCTATATATATATATATTTTGTAAGGTTTCTGTCTGTATGAAGTGTAAAACAGAATCAAAGTCACGGATTTCAAGATGAAAATCAGATAAATTTAATAATTTTTTTTAAAAGTAGAAAAATAATAAAATGTTATAAGAAGTTTGCTAGCTCTAAACATCACAGGAATCTTGTTGAGTGCAGCAACTTAGTTTTGAACTCTAAAAGAAGTATGTATTCCTCTCCCCACCCATTATTCAAGGAAAACTTTCGGCCCAAAAGATCCTGCAATGTGCTCCAAAATAGACCATCATTCTATATGCCTAATTTTTTTTATATAAAAGTTAAAAAAGTATTGATGACCATTAATTACCATGGAAAAAAACTCGACTTTAGATATGCTCCCAACAAATACTCTGACACTGTTCCAACAAGTTATTATCCTCTCACATCAGTAAATCTTCCCATAAATGATAAGGGAGATGTTCCTGATGTGCAGTTGCAGTAATTTGTTAGGACAATGTTGAGAGCACAACTTGGAGACAAAGTTGGGTATGGAACTGATGTGTACCTCGACATTAAACACAGATTTGAGGGCTTGGACAGGCCATAGGATCCAATTAACCACAGATTTGAAATGCAGGAAATCCAAAGGTTGGTGATTTAAATGAAACCCTATCAATAAAAACATCATATAATGTTAAGCATAAGTCAAACTATTACATTTAAATCTTCCATGCATTGAAACATCACTCAAGGTTCTGAAAATAGGAATGAACCCAACTATTATTGAATTATTCAAATTGTCAACATGTAAAGCTTCTCAAAAATGAAATGAGATTGTCTAAAGCAATGAAATCATGTTCAGTTAATGCCAAGGAATGTGCTTAATTAAAAGACAGAAAAAGGAAAACAACGCTTGGAGGGAAGAATCTTCTAGTGTTGGGTAAGAGGATTAGAGGACACAAAGACCAGTAGATGTGGGTGAATCCCAATTGACTTACCAACCATTACATGGTTCCTATCAATTCATATTACTATTGCTTTAAAAAATATTTTATTTTATTATTTCTTACTGAATTCTTCTGTCATTCAGTTGGGAGGAAGGTCCAAAGAATTGATACAGGCCGATATGGTGCTTTTTTCTGTGTTTTATTTTTTATTTTTTTGAATCTAATTTAAAGGGGTTGGTTTAAGGCCCGATTATTCTCTCAATCATGGTCTAACCCAAAACATTCTTGTAGGGGCATATTGAGAAGGCCATGATATGATATGTATCAGCCTATACATAACAATATAGGCTGATACATAACGATATTTTGAACCTTGATTGGGAATTGAGTCTTGGGATCTCTTCATTTTTTCAAACATGTGACAGGTGGCAAAACAGTGGGGCCATATCCATGTATCCGTCCCATCTAAGGATGACCTTTTCTTAAAATTAATTGAAATTAATCTTTATTTATTATATTTTAGGCAGCCATCTGAGCTGCCAGATAAAAAAAGAGAGATCGACTTCGGTCAGGGTAAGTCCATGCTCATGCCGTCCCAATATCTCCTTATAAAATAAAGCACAAGAATAGAGAGATAGTCTCAATGCAAGGGTTAAGGCTATGAAGACTGCTCTAACGGGAAAAAGATTCCTGATGTGGTGACTCTTTGCTAGACCTCGCATCTATCAAATCGCGTGGCCCAATGACAATACGCCATTACGTTTGAACAGGAATATCCGCACGTATTTACGATTTACGAGTTGAGATTTTCTGCCTAGTAAACACGTTCCAACCCTTTACCAATTTGATCCAACACTACATATGTTGACTGAGACGGACCCTCCGTATATAAGATGTGCGATATAAAATCACATTGGTAGAGGGTTGGAACGTGTTCTGTTGGCAGTGATTCAGACTCTGGATTTACACATAATACCTTTGTTTGGCAACAGCTTTTTCCACACAAAGACACACGATGGAGGGTTTAACTGACCAATATGGATTTCTCTGTGTCATGTTCACAATCTGTATCAACCGTTGGATTTGTTTACTTTTAAACCACACAGAGGAGACAAGATGAAATCATTTGATCGTCGCAGTGGGTCAAATTTCGTTCATGAGATCAAGCGTCTGTAACTCTGTATAACAGAGATAGGTGTTTTATATAATGGGGTGAAGAGAAATACAGCGTGTGTTGTGTGTTTAGGGAAGGGGGGGTGTTCGGTGCTGGAAGGCACTGAGAGAAATCCATAGAAAATTAATGCAGATAGAGAGAGAATCAGAGAGATGTCAGAGAGAAGTAAAGGACGTGGAAAAATACAAGGACAGGTAATTAGTTTTGTAATACCCATTTGCCCTTTTCTTCCTCCTCAAAATCCAATAACTGACAAGAAAATGCCAAATATTTCTCACAAGCTCAAAACCCTAACCTAACCAACTTTCTACCCTCTCCACTCTGCTCAGGTCTCTCATCACCCCATCAATCTCAACCTTCCATTGTTCGGTCACTCTTCTTCACAGTGCAAAACTGTTGATGAAAGAAACCCTATTCAAGAACCAAGCTACATCCCTTCCCTTCCTGATTGATTGAAAACTCTCTTTCTTAGTAGTTATCTTACTTTGGGGTTTTCCTTTTCTCTGATACATTCCAATGCACATACAAGATGCATCTTTGATAATAAACCCAACTTTAAAAAGCCAAAAGAATCAGAATTTACTTTTTCTATTTGGTTGGTTCATTAGTGGTCTATTTCAAATGGCTTTGGTTGACAACAGAAAAGTTAAAAAAATAAAGTTGCTCAAGTGCTATACTTTTGAGTTTTCATAATCCACTGATGTATAATATACTCAGTTTGAGACCAATTAGTCAGAAATAATGTGAAGATGTTCAAGTCTCTTCCTTTTAGAATTTTCAAAAAAATTAAAATCCAGTTTTCTTCTCAAAGCATCATACATTTCAGATTTGATATCGACAAGGGATGAAGTACATGTTGGGTTTTAAGATGATAACTTTTGTTCACAGATCTACACATGACCCACTGACAAAGAGACAGCAGCATCTCCCAAATACCTATGTGCATCCCCCACATCTCCCAAGTGAAAATTGTATACAAAAAATTCCTCATCTCTTCTAATTGTACAATGGTTCCTAGCATTCTTTGATTTCTTGCAATGACAGAACATAAAAGAGAAAAATAAGAAACAAGAACAATGAAAATGTAAACTTGTAGCGCACCATCATAAGGGATGAATTTATTATTTATGCCAATTGAAGGCAGAGGATGTAACAAAAAAAAGGAAGGCAGAGAAGAACTAATTATTGGATATGTAAACATTTGATTCTGTTTTACTTCTTGATGTAGTAGTTTCTTTTAAAACTGCAAATTTATTTTTTTGTATTTGTTTAAAAAGAGAACAATCAAAATTTTGCCATTATATGAAACATTTAAATAGTTAAACCATCTAAAATAAGGTCTTACCTTAGTCATAAAAGGTCATAATGCTATTACTCAATACTGGCCCCAGCTATCCAGGGTCTTGGGAAGAATAGATTGGATATAATCCTAACCTATTACATTTTTTTTTCACAATGGTCATTCTCAGACTCAAACTTGCATTTTTACATTGGACAGCCTAGGATTTTACCATTACACCAAATAAATGGTTTCCAAGGTCTTTAATCTTGTCACAAAAAGGCAAAAATCCCCCTACAAAGCATCTCCATAAGATATAGAAGCTGTACCTTATAGTCACTCTTTAAGGTATATATATAGCTTCTAATATAATATATATAGCTTGGCTGCTTGATCCAAATTCTGTTTTATAGGTTTCAACTACTCTCTTTCATTTATGAAATATGGAACAGAGATGGAAATTCCTGTTAGAGTGGGGTTCCTGGTTATTTTGCCTCTTTAGAAGCTGTTCATTCTGCAAAAGAAGCATGGGTATCAAGATGTGGTCAATGGACATAAGAGGCATAAATGGTGAGATGCCATTAAGGAAGAGGGACTAAATGGTGAGATGCCATTAAGGAAGAGGGACTAAATGGTGAGATGCCATTAAGGAAGAGGGACCCATCCCTCAAGATCATTTATTATTGTGTTCTTTCTTTTGCAACAAGACACTGGAGCATGACCACTTTTATCAACAGATAGGAGAAAGGAAAAAACAAGGGTAAGAAGAAAAAAAAAAACTTGGATTTGGGCTATTTTTTCTGTACCTCCGTGTTGACCCAAGAGTAAGACAGAGATTTTTCTCTGTTATTTTATTTCATTTTCCCCGAAGAAGTACTGATCCATGTGTAAGTGATTAAGGTTAACACGCTGAGATGAGATGAGAGAGAGATTAATGTTTCAAAAGTCGTTTTTTAGAACTTAGAATCCATAAAAAGGAAAATCAGACAGCAATTTTTTACTAAACCAGAGACGCTTATGATTTGCGCATAGAAAAAGGAGGTGTGGCTTCTCTCTCTCTCTCTCGTTCTCAGTCTCTCTCCATTTATATTTACTAGAAGCAGATCTTTGCCCATGTAAAAGAGCTCAGGAGGAAGAAACCCAAGTACCCAACCCTTCGCCCCTTTGGTGCCCTGGGAGATGGAGTAATCCAGCAAAGACTTCACCACTGACCATTGTCCTTTCTCCACTCCCCTGAACCCAAAATCAATCTTTATTTTTCCCACTTCCCCCTCCCTCTTTCTTACTGATAAGAATGGTAGGAAATAGATACGCAAAATATTAGGTTATTCTTCCGGTGAACCCCATCTCTTCCTGAGAAGAAGAAGAAGAAAGGAAAGAGAGAACGCAACCGAAATCATTTATTATATCTGGATTCATAACCATTTTTTTTGCATTTTCTGGAATTTTATCTGCAACAATTAAGTAGGAAATGAGGAAGCATGGATGGCAGCTTCCCTACCATCCTCTTCAGGTACATTTCCTCTTTAATGCTAGTATTGTTATCCTCTTTTCCCGTTTCTCTGTGCTCATTTCTGTCTCTATAGGTGGTTGCTGTGGCTGTATTTCTAGCATTGGGTTTTGCTTTTTATGTCTTCTTCGTGCCTTTCGTTGGAGGGAAGGTGTTTCAGTACGTTGTAATGGGGCTTTACACTCCTCTCGTAAGTAATCTTTCAAATTCTTTTAGATGTTCCTCGTATTTTCAGGTTCTTCTTCTTCTTTTGGTAGACTTATGAACTGAGATCTGCATGATGTGCTTTTTTCGGTTGATTTTCGATTCATGGGTTGAGCTTAATCCTCTGCCCTCCTTATGAATGGGTTCCTTTTTTCCTTTTCTATTCTCTGTTTCTATTTCTTTTGTGTCTTACTGTCCTACCGACTCCTCGAATTTCCCCATGAAGCTGTAATTTTGGCTTACAAGGAAGGAAGGGTTGCTTGTCCTTTTGCTTTTCTTGCATCTTTGGGAGCCAATAGACAATAATATAATGTCCTAGCTTATGATTCAAATCCATTACCCATTGATAAGTTAGTATTCTCTCACTTGTTTAGGCAAAGCCTCTCACTTTGTTATTCCTATGTGAATATTGAATCCTGTTTATAAATCATGGTGGAACCCTTGTACGAATAAATTAGATCATCTTGAATGCCCCTCCCTCCTATTTGGTAGCCAGAAATACATGGCGGATTTGGAAATGCATGATACTTGGTATAGAAAGTTTTCTTTCAGAGAAGCTTTCCGGTTGAAATTCTGTAAAGTTTCACCCAGAGATACAGGCTATCTATCTTCATTTCAATCAAGGCTGATTTTGAGCTTTTATTTGCATGGGGGAGTGATTTTCAATAAGGACATATCTTTGATTCATTTTTAGCTCTTCTCATAATGTCCTTAAAATGCAGAATGAACTAAAGTATCTAGAAAAGAAGGCTAGGTGGGATCTAAAGAGGCTGCTTTTATGCCTTTTGCAAACATTTTATAACCGATTTTCAGTATGCAACTGGGTAATGGGGATGAAGTTCATGACGCTCATGCACAAAGCCACAACCACTCTTGTTTATCATATGATATGATACAATAGGTGGCTTTGAGCATGTGACATCAATTCGGTTTTCTCTGTTGATGGAAAAATTTTGGATTGTCAAAAACTAGCCATCCAAACAATTTGCATTCTCTGGAGAGTCAGAAAGGGCTATTGATATCTATCTATCTATATATATACACAATTTTCCAGGTCTTTTTTTTTTTGATCAATCAATTTTCCAGGTCATAGAAAGTAGAAACATTGCCCACTCACTGAATAGGCTGCCACTTGGATTGTGGTAGTACTGAAATTTGAAACTTCCATTTTTGTGTAGCATGCCAAATTTTGCCTCACAGTGCAAGGTCACTTAATGGTACATATGGTGCTTGTTAAGCAGCTCACAGTGGGAGCATATATTGTTAGCCATATGAATAAATGTGTTCAGAACTTTTTTAACAATAACATGCCCAGGGGTCAATCTAAATTCTGATTATTTGTATGTGTTTACATGGGAACATAAAAAACCAACACACACCACAATAGATGTAGATAATCCATAAGGAGTGTCAGGATTGTGAGGCTATAAGTCCATGATGGATGAAGTGGAAATATGCTTCTCTACTGTTGTATAATCATTCATACTGCAGGAGAGTTGTGCAAAATGTTTGTAAGAGCAATCCATAAATAAATGGCTATAAGAAGTAAGAACAGACAGCCTTTATGGGTAAAGACTGTTGAACAATCAAGAGAAAAGCATCTCAGAATGAACTTCTCTGAGATAAGGATGAGTGGCAATAGCAAAGTCAGAAATAGATTATCTGTGGGAATCTAGGGGCAACTCTGATAGGTTGCAAGATGTGGAAAAATTGACTGAAATGGTTTGGTCATGCATTTGGTGGGTGTTTGAAACCAGCAATGAGTGGTTTGGTGTAAGTTGAAGGCTCCAAAAGAGTAAGAGACTAGTGGTTATGGCCTAGGTCAAGAGCAGCGTCCATATTGTTGACCTTAAATGGTTGGATGTGAATGATTGAATTGACTGTATTATGCACACTCATTTAATGTATCTTGTGCTATATGATTGATAGATGTTAATGGTAGTAGTCTGTTATGTCGCGGAACTGAATGTCTCTTGAGAACATTCTCCCATCATTTAGTTGATGAATTTATCAGACTTGCCTTTTAAGGATTTGAGAACCCATTATATATGATATACTTTGGTGTCAGGCATTGCAGCCCCAAAGTGTAGATCTATTGCTGGTCAGATTTGATCATTGAAGGGGTATCCATCAAAAGCTAGACCATGATTTTCCTCATTTTCTATGCATGTGCAATGAGAAGGGTGGTAGGAAAATGGCTTTCTTCCTGTTCATTAGTGCATCATGCATGCATTTTTCCATGGAATTCTTTAAGATCGTATTGCCAAATTTGTTAGGTAATAGTTGGGCTCAAGTGCACTATGCAAAACTTAAAGTTCATTTGTAGAAATTTTGCAATGTCTTTCATCTGGGGTCTGCTAAAACCAATATTTTCAACACATGGCTGATCCTGCTGGTCAACCCATCATCCTACCAGAATTCTGGGTCTGTTTCACCACTGAACTGCTTGTCTGCAATGAACTGTTGACTTGGGAAATGACCTGGTGACCCAGCTGGTTCAACCACTGAATTGTTTGACCCGGTCAGTGGGCCATGGGTTAGATATATATATTTTTTTTGTATTTTAGTAATTTTTCCATCACTAAAAAAATGATTCTTATTTGCCATACTTATTTTTTTTTAATATGATGATTATATTAGTATTAGAGATATGCCCAAGTTTTCTATGAATTTTCTGTGTTTTTATATTTTTATTATTGAATTATGATGCCACAGGTCAACCTGTTTGATCTATGGAACTGTTGACCTACCACCCAGAAGGAAAAGCGGTTCCATTTCCAGCTTGGATTTAAAACATGATCCTTGGTAAATTAGGAGATGGTATTGCCTTTTTGAATATATCAATAGACATGTACAGAGTTAAGCATGTGGAGGTGGAGGGGGACTTTTAGCTGGTAGTTGGTTGGTCTAAAGATGGTAGTGAGGGCCCTTGGAGATTTAGGCCAAGTTTGGGAGCTTATTTGAAAAATAAGCGATTATTGAATAAGTGCTTATTCTAATAAGCACTTATGAGTGTTTGGTGAAAAATTACTTATTTTAAATTGGGGTAGTATAGGTATTTTTAAAATGATGTGGTGGGCCAAGATAGGCCAAAAAGAAAATAACCGCTTAAAAATAAGCCCAAAATTTGGGCTTTTCAAATAAGTGCTTATTCTCAAACCAAACACTTGTTTTGGGCTTACTTCCCAAAATGCAAATAAGTGCTTATTCGTGTGGTCCCAGCCTAAAATAAGTGCTTATTTGAATAAGTACTTATTTTTAAGCACTTTTAAACTTAGCCTTGAACACTTTTTGGACAGAAGCTACAGATTGATTGTATATTTTGTATGTGCCTCTATGTATTATTGCTTTTCATTATCAAATGAATTATATATGTTGAGGGTTGTAGTCTTCTAAAGATTTGAATCACCAGCCTCTTCATCCTCATTCTGATCTTGCTAACATTACCTATGTTACTTATCCTTTCAGATTACATGTGTATTCAGCCTCTACATCTGGTGTGCGGCAGCAGATCCTGCAGATCCAGGAGTGTTCAAGTCCAAGAAGTATGTTAATACTTCAACTGATGAAAAGTATCCTCAGCCCAAGGGATCTAAACTAGGAGGCGGTTCAAGTTCCTCAAAGCAAGATGCAAATGCATCATTGGTTGGAGATAAGACCATAGATTCAGCAATGGGTTCTGCCATTGGGGAGGATCCCTCAAGTGAAACTGAAAAGAAGAATACATCTTCTCACAGTCAATCTTGTTGTATGTATTTGTTGGGGTTTTGTTCATCTGCATTTACATGCAACTGCTCAAGTCCATCTGAACAATCCTCTGAGCTGCAAACAAGTGAGGATGGCTTGTTCTATTGCAGCCTGTGTGAGGTGGAGGTATGTACAGGCATTTTCTACCGGTAATGTTTGCACCTTCTTTCTAAATTAGACAATATTGAAATGCATTATATGCTTTATCATTAGGAAGTATGAGGTCTGTGGTGGCTAGATCTTAATGATGGCCTACCAAATTGCTCATGAGAATTTGCCTGCATGCAGGGGGCTAGACCACCATTTTTGGGTTCCAATAAATAGATCTCCTATTTCATAGTTAGCCTGATTACATGACCTATTTATTCTATGTATTAGATAATCATGATCGTTGACCATCTGTTGCATGACCTTTACCACCAAGAAGTCCATCGTTTTTCCTTTTGGAGATTGTCCAGTTTGCCCGAATGATTTATCATTATAAATATGTGCGGCAATGATAATCCCATTCGTAGTCTGTCTCTTCTTTTCAAAAGCTTGCCTCCATGCATAATAATTGATCTAGACCTATGATCTATCATTTATTTTTTAATCAAGATAAATAATGTACATTCAATTAGTGAGGAAGGAAGGGTCCAAGGACCTGTAGCTTAAATGAAAGAGTGTAGAGGGGCGGAAGAGTGAATGGTAAAACAGTAGTTTACTGATGAGAAAAAAAGGAGGTGAAGCAGTACTTTTATAGCTTACCTGAATAATTGGGTAAGACTTTTGTTGAGCATAAGTTAGAGTTCTTAATGGTTTAACAACTCTATTTCCAAGTACAAGTTGTAATTAAATTGAATTTCCCAAAGAACTAAAAGATAAGTCCAACAAAACATATTACAAAACAGCAAAGTTTCTGCTTGAATTTGAATTTTGTTATATTTTCAAATTTATATATGTTCTTATTCTCTGCACTTAACTATAAGAAAACCAAACTCAATCCACTTTCTAAGGGTCAAGGAATAAAAAAACTTTGTCAATGTATAGTTGCCTGCATATCTGCTGAATAGCTTGTAAAGTACAACTCCATTACAAGGCTTTCACCCAATTTGTTCATACATATAGTATTCTGATTCTATAGAATTGTGGCACAGGTTTGCAAGTACAGCAAGCACTGCAGGGTTTGTGACAAGTGTGTTGACCGCTTTGATCATCATTGCAGGGTATTCAAACTCTTGTTTGATGGAAATTCTCTCAGACCCACCCTTGGCAGCACCTCTAATCTCTTTCATGTTTTGGTTTTGTAGTGGCTCAACAACTGTATAGGCCGAAGGAACTACCAACAGTTTTTCACCTTGATGGTTTCTGCCCTTTTATTGGTAAGCATGAGCCTACATCCTTTTGCCTGTTGAGAAGCTTAAGGGTGTCAGATTTGAAACATCCAAAAATTTGACTCAAACCTTCAGTCAGTGCTCTCTTCACCACCTTAAGACTTGTTCTTTTCCAGCTTACTTAGAACATTTCCCATCCTATCCTTTCTTTTTGCCCTTGAGCAACAATCATCATCTCAACTTCTGAAGAAACATGCAACATCCCAATGACCACTTCAGTTGAAGAGTAAGCATTTTCTTTTCTTGTCTCTTTTCATTTTGCTTGATTATTGACAGGTATGTACATGGTTTTTGCACCTTGGGCTTGAGATTGCAGCTTATTCTACAATGGTCGATAGGCATCCTTGTGATCATTTGCTGTTTTCTTGAGCGGAAGCAATTTGCCGTGGAGATCACCTCCAAGTTGGGGAGCAGTTTCTCTTTGGTGCCCTTTGTCGTGGTGGTGGTGAGTATTTTAATTCTTCCTTTTATTTTCTGTTTATGCTAAATTAAGGTCTGTTTCTTGAACAAAGATGTTTGGTAAGTGGACTCTGAGAGCTGTTTCATAGCTTTACTTTTATAAAATTGTTTTTTTTTGGGTGTTCAAATAAGCCAAACTTAGAAATCAAGTGATTGATTGGTTTTCAGTTTTGTTCTCTTCTTTTTGAACATAATCTTCTCTTACCAATGAAATGTATGCTGCATTTAACAGGCTTCGTGCACCATTTTGGCCATGATTGCAACCCTTCCTCTTGCTCAGCTTTTCTTCTTTCATGTTCTTCTCATTAAAAAGGTAAATTAACTACTTGGTTCTTTCTGTTGTGTTTTCATGTGGTGTTATCGTTGCTGTAATGGTACAGGGAACATAAGGAGCACTACTTGTGCAATCATGTGATGATGGTCCTGTTTGTCGTTTACCTCAAGAGTCATTTTAGAGGATACCACATGGACACGAAACAAAAAATACAGAGTTATTACTCAATGGTGGTAGGCTGTCTCTCTCTTCAAGAACAGATGGCTCTTGGCCTTTTGGGTATCACCTTGGCTTCCAATCTGAACTGCTTGTTCAAGTGGACTCCTAGATTGGCCAATGGACTTGGTGACTATTTAGTAAGGGAAAGAGTAACAAAGGTGGTGCTGGAATTGGTGGCACAGGGGTGAATAATATTTTGATGCTTTAAATGTATTTTCATGTGTCTGCGTTTGGCTGTTTGTATTATGTCTCTTCACTCTAAGCATCGTGGAATGGACTGTTTTCGTTCCCCCTTGATCCTTTTCACATCAATAAATCACCATTGCTGATAAGAAAAAGAGAACAAGAAAAGGAACACCATCTATACAACTTAATCTGTCAATTATGTTCTAAGTGCATGTGTTATATGTTACAGGGAATCAGCACATATGATTACATTATTGCTTTGAGAGAGCAGGAGCAGCAAGGTGTGGGAGGTCAGCAGAGCCCGCAGATGTCTCCTGCTAGCTCTCTTACTGGGTTAAGTAGTGCAAGCTCCTTCAACACTTTCCACCGAGGTGCATGGTGTACTCCTCCAAGATTGTTTCTTGAAGATCAGGTAGGAGCCATACTTTAGCAAATTAGTGTGTGGGTTTATTTATAATTGGGCGGGTGTCCTGTCAATTGTGCCATGATGCTACCTTTTCTGCTTTCCTTCCAGTTTGATGTGGTTCCTCCAGACACTGGAATGCCTATTAGCTCATCTGGGAAGAGGATGGTGGGAGAGGAACATGTCAGAAGAAAGAATCCTGGAGCTGTGAAGATCAGTCCATGGATGTTGGCACGTATGAATGCCGAAGAAGTCTCAAGAATCGCACTTCAGGCAAGGAAGAAATCCAGAATCCTTCAGCCTGTGGTAAGGCAGGAAGTACCATTTGGGCTAGAAAGAGACAGCAGCTTTGGAAGCAACAGTGGTAGGATGCTCCCAAGGCCAGAAAATCGGAGGCGAGCTAACAAGCGGGTCCGAGTTCCAGCAGATCTTCCGCTTGAGTCCCTGGCAAAAATATCATCCAAGGCTGCTGATAGTAATGACAGTGATCTAGTAGCAGGAACATCAACCAGTTTAGCTCCTCTGCAACTTGAAGCACGCAGTGCTTTCCGTACAAGCCGAGCGATGTCAGCCCTAACTGGGATGGTTGCTTCTTCTCCTGAGAGTAGTCTAGCCTCACCTGATCTCCATCCATTCCATGTCTCGTCAGGAGCAGAAGATAACAGAGGGCTAATGGCTCTTTCTGCCGCTGGTAGTGCTCAGAACGGATTACCACTCTCAAGGTCTACGAGTGATGGCTATGAGGCATCTGGAGGTGAAGATAGTGACCGGGTTCCTCCCCGAATGATGCACAGGTCAACAAATTGGAATAACCTCCTCTTTAGCTCTGGTCACGAAGATAGGACACTTAAATCCAAGGCATCATCTTCATCGAGCCAAACTAACCATATGAAGCTTTGACTGACTAGAATTAAGAGTTTGGACCTTTTTATGGTCTCCCTAAGATTAAGGTGAAAAGCTTGATATTCTTTTATTTGTGATCCACGGCTTTAAAATCAGGCTTGTGGGCCCTTTTAGCCCTTGGTTCTTGCCCCTCTGTTGTTGGGGTTGACATCCACTCTGAGAAGACATGAGAGGGACTGAATGAGAGTGGAGTTTGGTTGAGTTAAAGCATGTCTTGTACTGCCTGAATTTCATTGCAATTTCTTGTTCTTGGTTCATTCCACCAAGACAAGACCGGAAGGCAACATTTGTAATGTATTCTTCCAACCTTGTGTTGATTTCTGTTCAAAATGGAATTTACCCATACAGTGGTTAACCTGTAATTTTGTGTCTGAGTGAGGCTGCTGTAAAGTTATATTTGCCCTGACACCTTGTTCCATTACTTAATATTTCATGATTATTGATCTTGTAGTAATCTTTACAATCACGTCTTATTACACTAAGAATCTGAAAGCTGATGGAAGTGACAAAAGCGAATGCAATCTAAAGGAATCTATGAATATACAAAGGAGAAAAAGCAAATACTACGAAGTATAAAGAAATGGGACAATGCGGCCTTTTATTTCCGCTTAGCTCTTCTTTGAGCTTACCTATCGGGTATTGTATTTTGGCTTGGTTGTCGCTCAATTATTAGAGCTACCAGAACTAATTCTATGGGTCTAATCTTTTTATTGGCGCCAATTCAACTATCAAAACAATTTTCCGGGGAGCCATTTAACAGCTAGAAGCATTTTTAACCTTCAGAAGGTTCTTCAAGGAAATTCTTGCAAAGTCTTCCGGATTGTGAAAATGCTTTTGTCCTCTTCCTGTGCAAGATCGATCTGGTAATTGTGACTACCTTCCAGAGACTTTTGACAAGATGACTTACAGGCCTTGAAGAATATGCAGCTTGCAATGGTGTCAAGGAGAACGAGGAGGGAGTAGAGATAAGCAATCAAAAGACCCTCCAATGCCATAGAAGGTCGGAATTTAACAGAAAGATGATAATCTCTTACTACCCGATACTGGAACAAGGCTTCAATAGCTGCCAGGCCCAAATTGACAGGGAGAGCCAGTGAGAGAGCTATAGAAGTCCTGCCTCTAAGAAGCACGAAGGCCTTGAGGATTGCCAGATACCCAGAGCAGTTCTCCATTCCTGCCACAACCAGAGCTAAGTTGCAGATGATGAAAGTGTTGGCAAGTATGACAGAGTAGAGTATGGCTCCGGCTGCTGAGAGGAAAAGGAGGAAGTTGGGAGAAGAGAAGCCAAAGGCAGCAAAGGAATTAAAGGCGAGGAAGAAGAGAGAGAAGGTGGTAGCATTGGCTGCAAGGATAACAAAACAGTTGTTGATGTAGGTGAAGAAGAGGCGGCTATAAAGGAATGCCAAAGAAAAGATGGAAGCTGGAGGAGATGGTTTGCAATGATTAAAACCTCGGATTACACAGGCCTTTGCTACTAACAGGAAGGAAAGGGTGAATGGGATAGTAACAATGGAGGAACAAATGGTCTGAGAGAGCTTGAGACTGAGAAGAGAGAAGAGCTGGGATGAGGGTGGGAACCCTGCAGCATCAAAGAGGGATTGGAGACGAGCTTGGATGGTTGGGAGGAGAGGTGACAATGATGGCAGAACAGCTTGAGAGAGGAGAATTGAAACAGATACAGGAAAGATGAAGAGTGCTGCAATGGTGGTGAAGTGCTGGTAGTGTTTGAGAAAAATGAAGATCGATCTCCTGACAATCTTGCTGGTTCTCTCCGTTGGAATTGATGGGCTCTCCTCCATTGCAAAGGAAATGTCAATGAGCGACTCGGAGGTTGGTTTGTATATGAAAGCATGGAGGAGGCGTTGATGTTTTCTTCTATTTAATAAAGAAATGAAAAAAAGAATACTCAACGGGTTAATATCTGTCTCTCTCTGTGTGTGGGGATGGTGGTGGTTTAGATTTGAAGTATTCGGAGTTTGGTATTTTTAGATGAATGGATTGGCCAACTACTAAACCAACAATAGCAAAAGTGGAGTTGTTTTGGGAACTCGGGTTTCTTTGGAGTCATGACTCATGAGAGAAGTCTGTCTTTGTGATGTATCCTCCAGCCAACTTCTTCCTTTGTTTTCTGCTACACATATAATAATACACTTCGCCATAAGCTTGGCTGATCACTGATCAGAGTCTCTTTTGGCTGATGATGCAAAGTGAGCTCCTTTTGAATAACTTCTAATGTACTCCTACAAAGTCCTATCAATACAAATCTTGATATCCTTCACATGGTAGGTGATACGTAGCTTCTACGGGAATTATATAAAAAAAGAAGAAAGGTGGGCATCAAGGTTTCCATATTGTTCTTCATCACTACCAAACAGAAACAGTTAATGGGGTGGTGAGGGAATGATTCTTCATCAACCGTTTGATTGGAATCCAAGTCTTCCCTAGGTGAGATGAGCAAGGATCAAATGGTGAGATTCATTAAAGGAGACTGTTGACTTTCTCATCTCATCACAAGTCAAAACGCATTTATGGTAGGGGTTTTTGTAATCAGAACTAATAATCGAGCTTCAATCCTGACCGTCCAATCGGAATTGGAACTCGTGTGGTCTGATCTCAAAGTCAAATAGATCTAGTCCTCAGCCCTCCTACCATAACCCATTTGCTATTTTTTTAAGACTTCAAGTAAGCAAGAAACTACAGCAAATGGTTAGAAATATATATAATTGCAGGAGTTGATACAGAAAACTGGAGCACATTATAGGAGGGTGGTATTGAGAATCTGATGTACATCTATCTGTACCACGTGCAGCTTTCTAGTGGTGACTCGGGATAAGCCAAGTCAAGCCGAGTCTGAGTTGGGTTGAGGCAATTTTCCATTTAACAGATGAGACATCAGTCATCATGATGTGGAGGACTGGAGGGTGCCAAGTCGTCTTTATTGGGGCAGGGTTTGTTAGGGGTTCATAGTCTGATAATCGACCCATGTAGGCCCCTTATGGTCTTGGTTAAATTCCAATTAATAAAATGGACCTTTCAGTTCAGTTTGGTAGATTGTCGCTTTTTTTTCCCCTTCCCTGTGACCTTTCTATTGAGAAGAAGGAGAAGAGAAGAGGAAGCACTTGGATAAAAAAAGGGTTAAATTCCAAAATTTTTTGTTTAATGGAGTAAAAATTTTAAAGTGTTGGGGGTTATCATTGGTCTGGGGTGACTTGGTTCTGATCCCCTGAGTCAGTGAGGAAGAAGACATTAAGATGATGATCTGTAAAGGCCACTGATTCCATACTTCCATAATTGAGTTTTTGAGTAAGCAATTCATGTCATTACCCTCTCATTACTAACTTTTAATTCCAGATGGACCTACCAGAATTAGTTTGGGTTTTGGAATATATCACCTTACATCTCATCCACTAAGATATTATCCATCAAGTGTATTATGAACATAAAGAATCTAAAAGAAGCAATAAAGAATTGTGGGGGAGGATGGGTGTCCCAACTCTCACATGAGTGGATTGGTTAGAGCTTAAGGGTCAATGAGTGGAGGTCAGAGGACCCAAAATCCAAGCTTTCAAGCCAGTGGAGATAATAGGTTTTCTTTCTATTAAGTACATCTGATTAAGGATGGAATTGAGTGGTCTTTTTAGTGTGTATCCTCTGAAATTGGTTTCTCGGTAGCTTCTCCAAGTACATAGTATATACATTTGAAGCTTGGAGCTGACGACTTGTACAAGGAAGAGTACCCAAATTACATGATCTAACACTATAAAGAAAGAGACGAGAGTATATAATATAGGTCCACATGGATATCATAATAGGGAGGGATTAATGTATATACTTTATGTAAAAAATGGTCGTTAAGACTACTTGATAGATCAGTAAGCTAGTGAGATTTATCAGGTGGAACGAAGGGACCTTTCAAAAAAAGCTACATCGGGCTGTTTTAACGTGATAGAATAATGGTATTTAAGAATTATGTGAGAGAGAGAGATAGGGAGAGAGACGCTTTATGTGCAAACAAAAATGGTTGTTAGGACTTGGTAGAGTAAGGTAGTATGATTTGTCAAGTGGAAAAAGGGATCCTTTCAAAAAGGGTTGATGGTATTTAATAAATATGAGAGAGAGAGATGGTTTATGTCAAAAACAAAAAATGGTTGTTAAGACTTAATAGCATGGTTTTCAAAACCTGACTGGATGGTCGGACTGGAAAGACCGAGAACCAGTCATCTGATTGGTTCTGTTTTACCTTAAAACTGTTTTTTGGTAAAAAAAACTGTTGATTTGGTCAGCAAATTCGGGCGATCGAACCGTTGACTCGGACAATGATTTTTAATCGTTTTTTATTTTTTAACTTTTAAAAATTTTCTGTCAGAGAGCAGGATGTCCATTTGGACTGGACGGTTGGGCCATTTGGTCCAGAAACCAGACCCAGAACGGTTCCCTGTCTAGTCCGATTTTAAAAACCTTGCTTATTAGAATAAGGTAGTATGATTTGTCAAGTGACAAAAGGTCCTTTCAAAATAACTACATCAAAGGGTTGTATTAACGTGATAGAATGATGGTATTTAAGAAACGAGAGAGAGAGACAATGATGCCACTTACTGGAGTGTGAAGAACTTCACAGTTCACACCAAGAAAAGGGAAAAAGAATGGCCAAGAAAAAGGGGGCTTACTTTGTTCATTATTGGAATGATGATGATGATACAACATTGTGGACTCTGTGGTGGTACCACCCAATCTGCATTTGTAAGGTAATATCACTCATTGATTTAAATTCCTTTGCTATAAGCCTACAAGGCCCGGGTCTATAGTGAGATGTCAATCATGTGGATGGCTTTTCCCCAATCAGATAGGATGAGGTCATTGAGTCTACCGTCTACCCAGTACCCAACTATTGACAGTCGCTCTCTCATAGGGTCTCTACTCTATAGTATAGCAAGATGCTCATGCAATTACTAATACCATTGGTTGAATTAACATCTGAAAATTGCTTTAGGGACCTCCCTCTCTTCCTAGAAAAATTTCCTTCGAAACCCGAATCAGAGGAGATCGTTGATCCCTTGGCATTTGGGAACTTCACATGGGCATGGCCCTGAGTTGGATTTTCTCAACCTTTACATTTGTATGCAGTCCACTAAAACTTGGTAGTGTTTAAAGCTACGTGAGAGTGTGAGTGTGGAAATTAATACAAGGGACAGAACTCGTAGATCTGGGGGTCAGGGTCCACCATTCACCTAAAAAAAATCAGAATGATCAAATGAAGTTACATCTTTTCCTTTCGATGAGATATCTTTGGCTATTTTGAAGTAAAGCTTATGAATAAAAAGTCTGGTTTGATGACCAATTTCGTTTTAGGGCTGCATTATTTGAAGGATTTATCTCCTTTTTATAGTTAAAAATTCATTGTTCATAGGGGCATTTTTTTTATCAATAACAGTGAATTTTATTAAAAGATTGAGAAGATTATAGAGCAAGGGAGCTAAAAGTATTAACTCCTGAATACAACCAATGTACACCCAAAATATAAAGCAATTACAACACAGTTCAAAAAATAGAGTTTTTGTTCACCCTTTGTCAATGAATTTGCACTTCTCTTTACCCATGTACATTGAACTTCAAGGTCCTTAGTCAGTCATTTAAATTTCCTCTTTTTATTACTGTAATTCCAAAGCCTGAGTTGTCCTTTTTTTAGCCAGTTCATCACAATTTTAGAATCTCCTTCTATGACTAATTTATTAATATTCATGCCTTTAGCCCTTTGTACCCTTCAAGAGCTGCTAGTATCTCAACCCTCAAGGAATCTCCCACCTCAATTGGACAAGAATACATGGCTAACAGATTCCTTTTTTTCATCTTTTATAACTCCCCCTATTCTAGATGGCCCTAGGTTGCCCATATTACTGCCATTGAAATTCAATTTAGTAAAACTATGAGGTGGAGGGGTTCAACAAGAACTTGAAACCTTTTTAGCCAAGCTGATTCTACAATTTCCTTCCACTTTCTTAGCAATTCATTTATTGAGAAATCTATAAATATGTTCAAAGTTTTCAACCAATGTATCACCCTAATATGAGTAGTCTCCTTCAACTTTCTTAGCAACTCATCTATTGAGAAATCTACAAGCATGTTCAAAGTTTTTAACCAATGTATCTCCCTAATATGAGTAATCTCCAATATTATTTTCCAACTTCTCTCCTTTTCTAAAAAAATTCATGAATTTCTCTCTTCTCAAATAGTCCAACAAACTACTGTCCTAACACATTGCCACATAATCATAGCCCTTTTTGTTGACCAGTTAGGAGTGAATGTGAATAAGCTTTGCACATTCAATGGAGGAGTCCACATGCACCTAAATAGAAAAGTAAACCATTCCCAAATGAATTTAGCAAATTGATAGGAAATTAGTAAATGATATTCAGACTCACCATCAACTTTACAAATGACATATCGGTGAGGCGACAAACAACTATTGAGTTTTTTCCTTTGAAACAAATTTACTGTATTAATTCTTTTCAGAAAAGGCTTCCCAACAGAAACTCCTGACCTTCAAAAGTATAGGTTGACACCACACCTCTTTAAAAGGGAAGGCTAGTCTAAAAGAAGAAGAAGGAACGACAAATGCAGCCTAATTTTCTTTCATTCCAGTTGGAAATTAATTTGAGGTAATGTTAAATATAAGTGCCCTATGGCTTGTGGGTATCACGGTCGACAAATAAGAAATAAGAATCACCACTTAATGGGGGCCCAAAACTTCGAAACTTGTGTCATTTTTTCTGTCTCAGTTCAAGTGTTCAATCAGCCCCAAGTGAGGAGAGACCTATGGCTTGCCTGCGACGTTTCTGCAAATTCTACCTAGTTGTAGAGTCAGCTGCAAAGGCGTGATCCAAATTTGATTACTAATATTTGACTTCAAATGGAAGCTTTATACATTGGATTTTTATTACGCTTGGACCAGATTTGCATATTGAATGTTTTTTGATGAATTAAACTAAAAATAATCAGAGTAATTTATATATTATTGATAAAACAAGTTAAAAATAATTTCATATACCATGATAAGATGACTATGACTTGAAAATAACTTCTAGATTTTGAACCTATGATTCTTCCTAAAACATTTAACTTTCAAACCAAATTTTCCTAGTAAATATATATTAATTTTTACAGATATAAGCATAGATGTAAATGTTTAAATATTATCAGATTGGATTGGAACATATTGAATCAGATTAGCTTCATATTCAATCCAATTATAAACGGATCAAATTTGGATTGCCTTGATGGATTTGTATTCAGTATTGAATTAGGACAAATGGACGCCATTTGTAGACAGATACTCTTTAAATTATAACTTATGTTTAGAGTTTTATAGGGTTTTGTTCATTTAAGGGGTGTTCTACAACATAAATTGTTTTTCTTGTTGCCTGTTCCAAAAAGGAATCAAAACCATCTTGCTTGAAAAATAGATTGTTTCTTAAAACAAAAATACAAGAAACATGTTATTGGTTGTGTATATTTTTGCTTCCAAAACTGGAATAAAAAACATGTTCTTGAATTTAGTTTCAAAAACATGTTTTCATCTGATTATTCAACATCATGTTCCATATATCATATAGTTTCTATTTTACAAAAAATTTGTCTTTGTTTTAAAAACCAACATTTTGTTGGTTCCAAAAACATGTATTGTTTTTTGAAAAAAAATCAACTTGTTTTTCCCTTTGAGTACAAAAACAGAGTCTATAAACATGTTTTTATTTATTTATTACTGATGCGGCAATTCCAAAAAAAAATTAAAACAAAAACATTTGTGTTAATTATAAAACGCTCCCTTAATTTGAAAGAAACTATAACTACAAAGGGACAGATCCAATGGACTGCTCTGTCCTCTAGCATCCTATTGACCCTATTCCATTAGTTAATAAGAAAACAAAAAATCTAAATTAAACCTTAAGATGGGACGAGTTTAAAAAGAGCCCGAATCTGCTAGCAATAAGACGCTACCACCACAGCTTTCAACATGATATATAACAGCATATCTAATGCAATGCATGATTGCCCTTTCAAAGTACAACTTCATCAATGACAACATACAAGTACAAAACATGTTATTATAAATCTTGTTGGAAGATGTATTGGCAGATCCGGGCTTGTAAGACAGGTGTGTAGATCTGATTGGTTGATGCATTGTGTATAACAGGTTTTGTCTAGCAGATTAGTCCGAAAGGCACTGAATGATTCTCCATCAAAGAAGGAAAAACGTTCCAAAATTAGTTGGGAAAATTAATCAATTCCCTCATTATTACATTTTGGAGTTGCACAATAACATTTTCGTATTAAAAACACATGAAATGTGTAAGAATGATTACATTGCTTTTTTCTCTAACCACAGAAGAAAGATTACATACACTGATAGTAACAAAGGGCTGCAAATTGAACAGATCAAAACATAAATATTTATATACAAACTTGGATTAATTTATCCATCAGATTTAAATTGAACTTGGATTTAGATATTATTGAAGATCATTAAATAAAATAAACTAAAAATAAATTTCAAATTGTATATCATGAATAAAATGATTTCAAAATAACTTCCATGGGAATTGAACCTATGACTCTAAAGGCACAAAAGTAAATTTCAAGAATTACTGGATGGATCATATCATGTTAGATAGGGGTAGACTCATGTTTGATCCAATTACAAATGAATTAAATTTGGAGGCAAAATCTATGGTGCATTGTGAAGCAAAAAAAAAAAAAAAGCATGAACCAGTGAAAACAATAACAACACATCATAACTGACATCTTTAACATTGTTAAAGTCTTGCTGGTAAGTATACCTTGTAAAACGTAAAGTTCTTGTAAAATGTAAATCAATGAAAAACAAGTACACCGTGTAATGTCTTTAACTTGATAGGCTAAAATATTGATTTAACATATGGCAAACACTCATAAATGCACCGTAGTTTGACTCAAATTTGGATAGCTTCCTTTCTGTTTTCCTCTAATATTTTTGTACTGTGTATATGTGTGCATGAAATAACATGCTGAAAGGAGATCTCTCAACATGTGAATTATACATGCTGAAAGGAGATCTCTAGTGAACTAGCGAGAACTTGGATGTCAAGAAACACTGCAGACACCCCGCAGAATCTTGCAACTTGCAAGTTCCCCAAATCAGAGATTACATCTTGGCATCTCATTCCACTATCATTGCATCTAATACCACCATCAATGGCCCCAGTGATTTAAAAGGTGTGCCTAGGCGCACAGGCGAGGTGCATTTTAGGGTATGTGCCTCACCTAAGTCCTAGGTGCAGCCCTTTCAAAAGGTGCATGCCTAGTGAGCCTAGGTGTGCGTCTGATGCACCTTGTGCCTCGCTTAGGTCCTAGGTGTAGCCCTTTCAAAAGGCGTACACCTGGTTCGCTTGCTCACCAAAGCTCCAAGAACCCCTTATTTGGTAATGTTGTTCATTCATTAATCCTAATAGAATATCTTCTTAAAAAGAAATTAAAATTATAAAATCATTATTTTTGTGTGAGAACTAAGAATTTAAGACCTTAATATAGACTTGTTTGGGCTTGCCTTGAGGGGCGTGGCACAAAGGCGGCTTATAGAATCAGGAATATAATATGTTTTACATCACATAGCTACTTGAAGTAATGCAATTGAGGAAAATGTTTTATATGTTTGATTTTATTTTTAAACTCTCATTTGAATACACTTTACATGTTATGTTTATGTATTTAATTTAGACAATAGGCTTTTTAAAACATTTATGTTAAAATTTAAGTTTATATTTTTTATTAATATTATGTTTAATATTTTTTGATTTTTTTACATTTTTTTTGAATTTTTGGCATTTTTGAATTTTCTGGCAATTTTTTTTTTATTTTTTAGCATTTCTTTTTTAAATTTTTGTGCCTTGCTTCAAAAAGGCATGCACCTTGCCTTGTGCCTCAGGTGCAAATGGGCCCCTGCGCCTTTTTTGCGCCTTGCACTTTTAACACACTGGATGGCCTGTTTCTGAAATATCATTTAAGCCTAGTGGAAAGATCATTGCTTCCACTTCTGTGACAGTCATTTTTGGTACCAATTGCTCAAAGTAACTGCACACCTTTCCGGTACCCCCCCCCCCCAATGGGAGATACCTTGCTTTGATTTTTATTATCCTATAAGATACCTGGAAGTAAGAAAACTAAGTACCTGGATTTCTTAGAAGCAAGCAACTAGAAGTTACTGGCATACTGCTTCAACCAGGCTCTTCTGTTTGCATGTTAGCTAAACTTGGATCCTCTGCAAGTAAGGCCTTTCCTCTCCTATGAAAGTCTGAGAAATAAATGAGTTCTCCACTGTGTTAATGTAAGCTAATTTGAAAGTCCAATGCACAATATGTGGCTTTCAAAGGATACAAATAAACATATATAGAAATAGAACAGATTAAGCCATGTAAATGAACAGATTAGATCATCATTTCACTGTTTGGAACTACTTGTTATCTACTTCACTGGAGTAAATTATATAAAGGCACAAACATACAAAATCTACTGTGCTTACTATTTTATAGTTGAAGCTCAATTTTGATTGCATTACTTCAGGTACATAACATTTTACTAAAGATCCAGATATCCACTATGTAGAGCATCTATCATTCTCACAGAAAACCAAGTGGGACATCTGAAGGTAGGCATGATCTACCTTTTGGTTGGCTCTCTAGTGGGACCATTTAATGCCACGAGTCATTGTGATTGAGTTAACACGACTATCCAATATATCCCACTGTTGTCAATGCTCACCACAAATATATTGCTTGATCCAACAATTGGAAAAGTTTACATAATGGGTGCTTAGTCATCCAACTGGATCAGAAATTGGCACACATCACACCTTGAGGTCTATCCAGGATGTACTTAATCCTTGTAGCTATAAAACCTGTTCCATCTAAATAAATTAGCTAGAAGAAAAGTTCAGTCATACATGTATTATGCTTGAATTTAAAATGTTTCAGAAAAAGAGAGCTATCAGAAAGGAAGTAATTCTCATCTATCTTGTATAATGTTCATAAACATCTAGAGTAGTATCAACATCATATAAAATTATGGTTCCATGAAGAGAATCATATAAATAAATGACTGGGGCTAGTTATTTCCAAAATCATGCGGATGTTATGCATGCACTGAGCTTTAAGATGAGTCACCTTGTACTGGAGTCTTCAAGGACAACCCATCATCATCATCATCATCATCATCATCATCTGATCTCAGCTACATGAATCCTGTTTTGCCATTTCATTATACATGAATCCTCAAGGAGAACCTGTGAAAGTTTCAAAATGAGATCCTTGGGTAAATCTCCATGCTGAAGATGAAACCTGCATAATATCAAATGGTTTAACTTTTGAAACTAATAACAAGAAATCTGGACTTCTAAAAGAGCAACTCCACAGAAGGGACAATGGATAAGGGTTAATAAATGGAAATTGAACCTTGGTAGTATCTTTAAGGAATGGTTCTTATACTTTCCAAATACTATCTGCACACCAAGATTATCTGATAAGGGACACCTAAATATACAGAGGAGAGGAGAGGAGTGGAAACTTAGCATCGATGTCCTTTAGGCTGGCCAATTTTCACTTGCCTTTCCTGTTTGAACGATTAAACATAAATATCTGATTTTGTATCAAACTGGTTTAAGCCCAATACTACAATGTTATTAGCGTCCAATTAGCATTTTGAACCAGTTGAGTCGTTTAGTGTATTTGGTGAATCAGCATCACCAGGACCTAAAATGAATTGAATACTCTATTTTCCAATATTAACGTACATACATATAGATTCTGTGAAAGATAATTGTTTCAGTATCAACTCCAAATAATGTGTGACAGAAGAAAACTTGAACTCTTGAAAACATATTGGATTAGCTGCATAAGACATGTTTGACTGTTCAGACCATCAAAGGGTAAATCTTCATTTAGAAAAGGGACTTTCGAAATTCTTACATAGGAGATGCAACATTAAGGCATATTAGGAACCATTTGTAACATTCCATGGGAATCTTTCTGGTACATGAGAACACCAGAAACCTTCCCTTGATACAGTACCAAATGCTGCCTTAGTTTTTAGACGTCTTCTACAAGTAATTGCAAGTAGGCATTTCTTTCCCATGGATATTGATAAGCAATGTGGTCCAATAAGCAAAGTTTAAAATAATGATAATTATGCATCATTCACTGAAAAAACAATTATGTTATAAAATGAATTACTCAGAAAAATTACAAACGTGAAAAGAACAACCATTATCCACACTTCGGAACTGATAAACAAAAAATACATTTATAACATTCCATCTATAAACATTGTTAGACATAGAAGTACTGCATAATTGGTAACTTTCTATCAATTTTGATCCATGAATTCCAAACTCTTGAGCTATAGTTGTGATATACTTGTACAAATATAAAACAGAAGAAAAGAACATTTCCTAAACAATTTGAGGTAACTTTCTATCAATTTCGAGTCACAGCAAGAAATACATTGTATACCCAAAAAAATTCCAAAATGCTCCGTATTCAAAATTTCTTCCTGATCAACACTTTGCAGCTACAAGGTTTTTGGATGCTTTCCTTTCTTAGAGAGCTGAAGCATCAGCATTACAAAACTGATGCTGGAAAATAAATTGAATGCATGCTTAGATCTTTCAATGATTGTCTGCTAGTCAAAACTCCACCTTTCTCCGTATTAACTGAGATTAAGTGATATGAAACAGAACCAATGTTGCATGGTGATATCAGTCAATACCAACTGATCTAGAGGGAAAATCGATAACTTCCAAGGTGGTGTTGGCCTCTCCCTCTGAGCTTTCAATACTAGATGACCTACAAGTGAAGTAGAACACTGCACTCATCATAGAATCAACAAGCACTACGATGGAGTACATAATCACCAGAAGAGGTCCTTCCCATATCCTGGAAGGCCCGTCTCCATAACTCAGAGTCTTCACTCGATTCTCAAACAACCCCTCCACCAATGCCATCCCTATTGTTGATCCAAGATATATTATAAGCCCTACTTGGGTCTGGCCTTGAATTAGGACACCTGACCTAAGCAAAGCCTGAGGGCCTGATATATCCTCCAAAACAGAGATGACGATGGCAAGGTTGCAGATAATAGTAGCATTGGCAAAAATTATGGAGAATACCAGTCCCATCATCACAGCTGGATAAACAATCACAGAAGATGGACACCCTACGATAGAAACAATGTTGCAAACGGCAACCAGCAGAACAAGAAACAGGGCCAGACAACCCACAATAACCATGCAGGCCCATGTATATGTTGAGACAACGCGCTTCCAGATCTTGATGATAACTGCAAAAAACTTTGACATATTGAATTTCTTTCTGGAATATGTGCAATCTACAGAGTACACAATTGCAGCTTTGGATAATAGCGAGAATGTGATGTACAAAGGGAAACAGAAAGCAGCAGAAATGGTCATCTCTGATAAACGTTGGCAAGACTGTCTAATAAAATATTTCAAGGGCAGCCCACTTGACTTGGCAACTAACAAGAGCCTATTAGTCAGTCTCTTTACAATGGAATGGTCAACGAGGATATTAGAGAGGACAACAGCAGAGACGGGACAAATGAGCACTGCTGTAATCACCAGGAAACCTGAGGAATTATACCGAAGGATCCTCACAGTTTCTCTCAAGATCTCCAATGCATCCATGGAATCGAATTCTTGGTCTGAGCCAAGACTCCTACGGATACCGGATTCCGCTGATTCCAACTCAAGGCCATGCAAATTCGAGACTTCAGAGCCTCCATCATTCAAGCAGTCTGAGTCAATTTTACAAAGTTGCGCACCAGAAACCTCCATCTCTCTAATTTGTCAACCTTTTAAAAAACTCAGACAAATTTAGTGAAATATACCATTAGAACCATAACAAGAGGCCCCAGCTTAATATATTAGACTCACAACAATGAACTTCCTTCCCAGGATTCTAGTCTAACCATCTTTATTCTTTAAATCTGAAACTGATTTACAACAGACATGAAGAAAAGATGAAGAGGCTCTATCTCCATTGACAGTCCGTAGCACGAAAAGAACAATAAACAAGCCCAACAAATCAAGGTCTCCCTAAATGAAAAAGGTACAATAATGAACGAGTTCTACGATATCATCTGCTAATCAGAGAGAGAAAAATACGTCAAAGAAGTTTAAAGAACCCGCGAGATCCAGATCTGGCAAAGCGAAGAACCTGATCTTTGCACAAAACCGATGCGTTCGGTGGCCGAAGAAGTGTTGTCCACCTTATTAATGCGTAGTCGCAATGCACAACATCCAGTTTAATATTTCGAAGGGATTAGAAGAAAGAGCGGGAGAGATTCCGTGACAAGTGCATTCACGCGTATCGTTTTGGTTGCAGAGAGCCAGAGCCAGTCAGCCACAGGCTCGAATGAATGCATGGGAGAGATCTCTCGTATGGCGGAAAATCCAGCTCTGAGTCCCGAAATTGAAAAGTGAAAAGACTCGTCAAAATGTTTGCCGTGTAACCGCAATCAACCGAGCCGAGTTCAGGAACAGGAAGGAAGGAAAGAAGATGCCAAATTGCCAATGCGATGGGCCGGTGGCTGGCGACTCTGTGTTGGTGGGGCTCCGATTACCGTACATTTGTTCTCTGATTTTGTACGTGCTCGATGTGCCACTTTGTACTTGGTGGTGACACGTGTAAATAAAAACTCCAATGTCATTATCAACTCTTAACTGCCGGACCGGTCACTGTTACATAGGATTCCAATCTGATGCTCTGGAAGAGATGATTTGTCTCGTCAGTGATCTATCCAAATACAACGGACGGTCCTGAACTACTGATTCGTTTGTTTGTTTGTTTCTGCACGTGTTTTATGTTGATTGGTCTGGTAATGTTCGAGTTCTGATCTGCTGGGAATTAGTTGTCGCCAGATGGGCACCAATCACGTATGCCACATCAGTAGCGTCTGTCCATGTAGGCGCCAGGAAGGCTCGTGCGAGCGGAGTTCACATCTGCCCCCCACCAGATTGCAGACCAGAAAGGTCCCGCTCTATCCTTCCTCTTTTTTATTTCTCTGCAACCAACTACTCTGTGTAAGTGTAATGGTTGAATAATGGTTGTTTCTCTGTAAATTTACTATTAAGCATATGAAATAATGGAAACAATAAATTGTTAAAAAGGCGACGATAAAAGCTATAAAATCAAAAGAGAAGATCTAGGCAATTCTATTTACGCTCTATTTTTAATCTAGTCCAAAACGAACGCAACGTTCAGTGTGAAACAAACCAGGCAGCGGGATAGCCAACCCAGAAAAAGGTTTCAATGTCTAATTCTAGTCAGAAATTCTCTCTTTAGGAGACATCCTCCCACTCAAGGTTCAAAGGTTCAAGATATCAATGCACACAATACGCAAAGATTGTGTATAGCATAGCATCAACCAAGGAGGGGTTGGTCGATGGTTAAATTGCAACTCGATGAATCAGTTAATCAGGGTAGGGTCGATGGTTCTTTTCCCGTTTGCCTGTTGCACCTGAATCTAGCATGAATGTCCATATGATCTCATTAACAAATTATGGAATTTTGTGTTTTCTATTTTACCAATAAAATGCCGTTTGAAATAAGAGATGCATCAAGCGCATCAGTGCATGTTCAGATGTGCTGATATCTTGTTCTATCTCTCGTCTCATTTTTCAGAGCAACAAAATTTCTAACCGGAGATTACTAGGCCAATGAAATTAATATGCTTTTTTATCAATCAAAAGAGGGGAAAATAACTAGGCCAATGAAATATTCGCAGAAGAAAAAAATGGAAAGGAAAAGACTAGGCCATTGATATAAAGGTAAAGGTAGGTCCAGAACATGTTAATTCATGGTATTCCATTTTTACCGAGCAAAAAAAAAAAAGGTTTTGCATCAGGGACGATTTAATTACATCATATAACAAAGTCATCATATGAAGCCATCAATTCTCAAGCATGACCCATCTAAAAAAATTCTCAAGCATGACAACAACAAAATTTGAAACTACTGCATACTTCTAATCTCGTTCAGCATCTTCAATTTCTTCGTCTTCTGGCACTCCACGAAGATAGAGAACATTATTACATCTGATGCATTACAGAAAAGAAAAGGTTTATAAGTTATCCAAATAACAGAAGTTAAATTAAACTTGAGTTCTCCCAGAAAAGTACAACATGACACTGCTAGACAAGACAATGTTTAATGGTGCCTACTGCCTGTTACCCCACATTAACCATGTAGTCCACATGTCTCGCTGCTGTTCAATTGGTTGGCCAAGACTTACATGGTTATGGACCAGATGCCATACATGACCCAAGCATTTTAACAATCAAACATAGGTCCGTTTTGAACTAATACCTGACACTAGTTTACTTGGCAAACTAGGAAATGGTTAAAAGGTTTGAAATAAGCAAATAGAGAAAACCCACTAATTGACAAGTCTACTAATATGCACAGCATACTCATGTTAAATTGTTAATTGATGAAGGAAGCACAATTCCTTCTGGTGCTTAACACCACATCATGCATCAAGTCATTTACCTAATTATTCAATAAGTGAATCGATCAAAAAAATATTCAATAAGTGACTTTGCAAGTTTGCGGAATACTTATTATTCAAATAGGACAGGCAAGCATAGATCACCATAATCTTGGTGGCAACTACCTGATCAGAATCTCTCCAAGATTTCCTGTGAATTGTCCATCAATATATTCTTCAGTGTTTGCTAGCTGCAAAAAGCTATCAATTAGTTGGTAATAATACCATATACAAATATATAATTACCAATGGGCAACAATCAAACAGCTCAAAAACCAAATTAAGGCAGATCTCTGAATGATAAAGTTCTTGTCTTTTAAAAGCTAACCAATATGGTATCCAACAACAATCAAATCTGGCCTCAGAATAAAATCAAATAAGAAAAGCTACATAGACATCAAGCATGAATCAAATGGATGAACTAAAGGAATAAACAATACCTGCAAGTTCATATAGGCATCAACTGACACAAGATAGCCTGAAAATATCATGTATATAAAGTACTTAGCTTATTCTTAGAGATGATATATCTAAAGCCAAAACACACACACATATGAACACACACTTGAAGTTTTAGCAAGAAGGAAATACCTTTGTACTCCATTCCCCATTTAAGCTTTACAATAACAGGCTTTCCAGTCAGATTGTTCAAGAATGGTTTTGGATTAACTGGAACAGTCTGCAATATTAGATAGACACAATATGCAATAAGCAATTGAAACTCGACAACATAGCAAATCATCATTCCATAAGACATAAATTAACAATTTATAAGCATGTACTTTAATAAAACGCATGCATAAATGAAATGGTACATGATGAAGGAAGATTTGGCCCGACCTCGTGGCCACTCAACACGTGCCAAAGGCAACAGCTCGGCACAACAGCACGCCAAGGCGCGAGCTCCGAAAGAAGGAACCAGCGGTCCGAACTCCCTGCAAGGAGCCCGAATTCCCCGTAAGGAGCCCGAGCTCTCCTTTAGGCCCCGAGCCTTACGAACACAAAGGGCAACAACCCGAACTGGCCTGCCCCATGGCAGTTCGGGCCGCGCCTCTATCCAAACTCAAGACTTAACCTCGCACACCACTCCAGCACTTCGCCTCCAAGACACTGAACTAAACAAACTACACCGTACCTGACACCGAAGGAGTCCGTATCCAGGGGTGGCGCACTTGACTGACTTGGGATCTGACGCTTGACAGCCGCACTCCAACGGCCACCTGCCACCGCCATCTCCAGTTACAGAGACGGCTCCGACAAAGAGCAGTGGTGGTTCTGTCCCAGCAGAGGTGATGACACCCGAACTGGCAGAAGCACAGAAGTAATCATACCCGACCTGACGGAAGCCTAGGAGTGAGTGCGCGAAGTGGTTATAAAAGGCTCTCTACCCCCCAAGAACAAGGTATGTGAACTTTGCGCCATTTGGTTTTATCTTGCCTTTGAGAGAATACTAATTTGAGCTTCGGAGTAATCTCACCGGGTTCCTCCCCGGAGATTCCCCACTTTCTTCTCCGTTTCAGGCCCCCTGTTGCTCCAGTCAGAGACAAGGTCGTTGACAGCTAGGACCGGTCGGATTGCGCACCATCAATTGGCGCCGTCTGTGGGAACGCTTTTAAAAGCCTCCCTCTAAAACTCTCATAACCTCTTTTTTCTAAAAACCCCAACACCCATGGCTTCTTTCAGCAATGCCGGACGTGGCACGGAGATGAACACCACCGGGGAACAACTTCAAGTCCCCGTGGTGTGCATCGGACAGTTCACTATCCCCCTTCCGATGGATGGGATCCCCAACCTGAATGCGCCACAAACAGTGGTGCCGGTAAACCTTCCTGCCATGAACGTCCCCTTTCCACTCCCTGTCGAAACAACCTTTACTGAACCAACTCCTATCCCCCTGGCGACCGGCCAGAACCAGTTGGACGACCTGATGCAATGCAAGCCCAAATGCAACAATTCCAGCAACATCAGCTCCAGCAGCACCAAGTACTGCACCACATCTCTCAGTATCACTATTAGCAGCAGTTCCCCCAACTGCCTCTAAACCAACCACTGCTTCCACCTCGGCACCCTGCTCCAAAGCCGGTTAAGCCCTCCCCTCAGAGTGGACGCCGTCACTGAGGAGAGGCCTCCCAACCTCAGAACCCCCACAAGAGATAGGCCTCATCCCCGGGCCGAGGGGAAAGAAAAATCACCCCCGCCTCGCAGCTTGCCGGCGGGTCAGGCACCTCGCCCGCCAAGTCGGTATCTCGGCACTCCAAGTCTGAGCTCCCGCTGACAGAGAATCGATTCAGCGTCCTAGCGGCAGACTACCAACAACCCTGGCCCATCGAGCTCGGCAACATAGAGGCCAGCAACGCCAGCAACGCCAGCACCAGGCCCACTCAACAATGAAGGCACCAACGAAGTTGCCAAATTGCCACCCGTGTCCTGCCCGAGCTCAGAGGTAAAGAAGAGACAAGCTCGGATGAGGTAAAAGCCACCCCGATTCTCTTAGTTCCTTCCCCCCTTGCATCGGAACTCCTAGCAGTCCCCATGCCCAGAAACTTCAAGCTCCCACCTTTGGACAAGTATGACGGGTCTTTCGACCCTAACGACCACATCGATGCTTTTCAGTCCCAAATGCACCTAGCTAGGGCCAGTGAATCGTGCATGTGCGTGGCCTTCACCACCACCTTCAGGGGAGTGGCCTGCACTTGGTACAGGAACCTGGCCCCCAGGTCGATAAGAAGCTGGACCCAATTCGTGCAGGTCTTCACCGCGCACTTTGTCACCAGCAAGCGATGCCCCARAACCGAGGAGAGYATCTTYGGAGTAGTCCAGAGGGAAGGAGAGTCCATCCGGGGCTACATCAAGCGATTCAATGACGCGTGCTTGCAGATACCGCGATTGGACCCCGCGGTG